CAGCTCTTTTCACATCAAGCCATTTTGTAGCATTTTCCTTTAAATGTTAATGAGCTCTGCTGGCTCCGCCCCTCTCTTCCGAGCTGCTCTCAGAGGAACTGTTCACTTTAGCCACATTCATCGTGAAACTTGCTAATTAGCACATTATTAGGAAAGGCGATTTGCAAAGATTCATTACAAAACATAATTCTCATTTCTGTAGGTGAAGCTGGATCATGAATGATTCGCGCGAACATAGACGCATTTATGTACGTAAGAACAAACGTAATCCACTGTGTCTTCAGCGGCTCAGATGTCGGGAGTAAATGACGACTGCTGTGTTCATTATTACATCCAACAACAGAACACCTCAATCGCTTAGGAGTCACTCTTGTCTACATCTGCTCCGTGGTGAAACAATGGCGGACTGATGACAGTCACTAAGGGCGGAGCTAAATAAATGAACTATAGTGTCCTGCACCCACTAGTAAAAAAATATAAAAAATCATATCTGGTGTATGAATTCTTTTCTGTTTGACTGTATATGATTAAAGATTGTAATTGAAAGGATTATTATTGCCGCTTTCCTTAGACACCAGTGTATTTAACAAACTCACAAACATCAGTGTGAATTTAACAAATGTTGCTTTCTGCGTTTAAAATGTAATGCTTTCAAACACTAGATTGCATGTTATTTACAGTTATAGTACATTAATTTTACATGCAATTATTTGAACTTAAGAGTGCCTTTGAACAACTTAATTAGGACTTAAGTACATTGTTATATTTCATATTACTTCTATTGTCATTGAAATAAGTTTAAGTGTACTGCTAAATGTATAGACAACCACTTGTGGTAAACTAAAATATACTAACATATATGTCATTATATATGTATTATACATTTAAAATATATTAACTTTAAATGATATATATATGGAATTGTGTATTGTGTATTTAGTATGTTTGTCAAATCATTAAAATAAGTGTATTTCTTTAAAGCATGGCAAAAGATTATTAAAACAATGTTTTAAAATGTACATTGAAGTCAAATGTACTTTTTAAAAGTGTACTTAAGTGTGTCGAGAAATATAGTCATGAAACTCTTTTTAAGTGCACTTTTATTTCATTAATACTGTATTAACTGCAGGTACAGCTTTTTAAGATTTGAAGTACACTAAAAGTGCACATTTAATACTATTAAGCACACTTCTTTTTCACAAGGGATACTAAATTGTTTATTGATTATTTTCTCTCAGCAGTGTGCTAATAAAAATGCTGAATTAAGGGCCGGTCACACTAGATTTTGAGCACGTAAAATTTCTTTGGACATTGCAACGGTTGTGATATGAAGTTGCTTTGCAACATCTTTTTTCAAAACATAAATTCAACATGTAGCAAATATAAATAACAAATAAATCCAAAATGTAAAAATATCCCATCTACTCCACTTTCCTGTCTATAAATAAAAGTGAATGTAACTAAAAGTGTATTGTTACTCCCCTTAAATAAGAAAAACAAATAAATAATGATAAATAACACTGCGTTAAGTTCTTAATGTGGAAGCATTTGTTCCCCTAAGTAAGAAAATATTTGTAATTAAGAAAACTTAAAGAGTGAATAATCAGCATTAGCAGCTAGTGCACTTATTAGGTGCAAAGTGCTTTAAATTAGCCATTTGTCTGTACAAATGATTTAATCGTGAGCATAATGGATATAAGCAAATGTATTCTGTGGTTCACAAAGAACTAATGCTAATTAAAATGTAGATGCTGGTTATTCAAGTATTAATAGATGTTTGAAAGGCTATAGTTGAAAGGCTTGATATCTGACAGCAATCAGATTGAATGCACATTTTGCTCAAGTCCTCTCAGCTTTTTCTCCAGAGAGAGAGAGAGAGAGAGAGAGAGAGAGAGAAAAACAGCAATCTCAAGTCTCATATATAGAGTTTTAGAAAAGATCTCAACAAAGTCTGAAACTGTGCTCAGATTTGCAAAGAAGCACCTGCTAGTGAGAGATTTATGAACTCAAACGAAGCTCAAAGCTATGCTTTCCGCATTCATTTTATAGCTCTATACACTCTCAGAAATAAAGGTACAAAAGCTGTCACTGGGGCAGCACCTTTTCAAAAAGTACATGTTTGTACCTAAAGGGTCCATTTTTGTACCTTAAAGTACTTACAGTGTACATATTAGAACCTAATAGGAACAAAAGTGTACCTTTTAAAAAGGTACCGCCCCAGTGACAGCTTTATACCTTTATTTCTGAGAGTGTACTGTGTGTCAACTGATGCTTTTGGATCTTGAATTTCAACATCTGAGTATAATTTTGATCCATAAGCAAAACGTCTCGGGTTACTTATGTAACCATGGTTCCCTGAGTACCTCACAGAAAGAGCAATACAATTGGGATCCTCGCTAAAAACGCAGTATGGTCTTTAATAACCGTACATCCAAAGACCAAGTGCACCATTTCCATCTCAGCCCACACAAAAGCAGGCACTGCGCTAATTTCTCTCTTCAACTCTCTCTCTTTGTAAATGTCTGACTCTCACTCACTCATTGGGCGCAGTAGGGCTGTTGGGAGTGAGGTCATGGTAGTGTTTAGGAGGAGCATGCAAGGTGGGAGTCAATCTGAAGACAACGAGAGAGAGAGAGGAAAGTGATGGAACAGACACCAGCACAGGAGAGAACGCACCAGCCAATGTTACATAAACCATTCGGAGTGCTCTGCCAGCAACACGACATGGGTAAAAGAGGCACAAGCCATCAGGAGCAGTGGGATGTGTCTCACCTCCACACACACACACACACACACACACACACACACTCATACACACACACACACACACACACACACACACAGGTTTACATTTGTGAAAAGTGGGAACATCCTATAGGCGTAATGGGTTTTATACTGTACAGACCGTATATTCTATTGCCCTACACCAACCCTACCCCTAAACCTACCCCTCACAGGAGACTTTCTGCTATTCTGCTACTTTCTACTCCATTCTGTGTGATTTATAAGCGTTTAGAAAAGTGGGGACATGGGGTAATGTCCTGAAAAGTCACCTTCTCCTTGTAATACCTATGCCATACCTTTGTCATTATACACATTTATGTCCTCATTTGTCACAAAAACGCGCGCACACACACACACACACACACACAGACACACACACACGCACACACACACACAGAGAGGGAGCCTGCTGACTGCAGTTAGATGACAAATCACATGTGAGCATTTATTAATGAAAGCTTTCGCTTGTAGCCGACCTCTCGCTCTCTGGCTCCCACACACATATACGTCCTTCACTCTATAATTTAACAGATCGCTCTCACTTTTTTCTCTCATTTCCTTTTAATTTCTTTGAGCTTTTGTAAGCCCTCTACGTCCTCCTCCTCCTCCTCTTTATGGACAGCATCACACGTCTGTGAAGCACCACAGCAGGGTCAGAAATTAACCAAAATGCAACTGACAAAAATGCTCCGGAAGTGGCAGAAATGTGTCCTTTTTTATCTGTTTCTTATCAAAAATGTGATATATTTCATAATATTCTGAGAAGCAATGCAGACTCTGTAGTGCCTTGTAGCTGTCAAACTGCACACATTTTTTTGGGTGACTGTTGTGTATGTGCCGCTAAAAAAGAAGTGTATTTAAATAACACTAGCAATCAAAGCTTAAAACAGCGATCCATTAAAATCTACTGTACAAGTATAGGCAGTAGAAAGCACTTTTGGAGCTACTTTGTATTTGAACCGTCAGAAGTGTTCAGACTGAGGATGAACTGATTCACCTGAACTATTAGACAATCAACATACCAATAAAAAAAGAAGCCAATTCATAGTTTTCACGTGACGTCAGTCTTTTACAGGAATGCCCACATGGAGGGCAAAACAAGGCTTTCCTTCCACTGACCGCCAGTCATTGATATGAGGTTTGCAGTAAGTAGTAAGACAGTGATATTTAAAGGCCAAATTCAGTATACATCTTATTGATGATGCAGACTTTGTACAGGCAAGCAGATGAACCCAGCATATAAATGCAATGCACAAAAGTTTAATATCAAATATGTTCCCATAGAAAACCATTATAAAGAAAACACTTAACCATTTAGTGCATTGCCTTCATATTCCAGGCTCATTTGCTTGCCTGTATAAAGCACGCATCGTTATTAAGGTGTGTACTGAATTTGATCTTTTAATATCACTGTTTTAAAGGCACTTTAAGTGTTTTCACATTAAACGTCCTGCTGTTTTTAGTGATTGAAGTATTGTGGCAGGTGCTTTATAAGGATTGCTAAAACTTGCATTTCTTTGTTTTATTCTTTTGAGAGGTGATCTAAATATTTTTGGAAAATTGACAGGCTTGTGCTGCAGCTCTATGGATGTTTTGCCCGCCGGGTCACGTGACTGAAAACTATGAATTGCCGGGGGCAATTATTTCCACATATAACCATATATATATATAGTCTATATAAAAGTGCATTTCTGTCACTGCACCACAGTGCGCCTGAGTGTGAGCCGCGTTCTTGCGTTCCGCTGCGCTATTGTTTCATTGTTGTGCACCTGTACACACGCGCTTGGATGGAGACAGCTTGGTAGTGGCGTCTCGCTGTGCTTTTCAGCGAGGCGAGTAAAAAGAAGTTGAACTCCTAAAAACGCGAGCGTTCAGCTGCCTTCCGCTGCGTCCAGCTTTCTTGGAACGCAAGAAGAGCGCGTCCTGTGCGTAAAGATGCCTTACGCGCGCTCCCCAAAAAACGCAAGAGAGGGATTTCAAATGCACGCTCCTATTATAAAACAGCCTCGTATTTCATTTCAGTGCGAGCTCGGGTGAGAGAGCGAGATCAGACGGAAGAACAAAGAAGTGCTGAACCCGTGAAGAGGCTCGGAACAGAACGCACCCTTCACAGCACACGAGCAGGAGAAGCTGCTCGACAGAGAGCGATAAACTTCCCCCCTCGCGCGCACACCGCACATTCCTGCTTCTGGTCGTGACGGGATGAACTGGCTTACCTTTGTGGTCACTATGCAGAGGCAGTCCATGGCAGAGAGAAGACAGGTGGAGATGTATCCAAACCCCCGTTCCCCCCTCTCCCCTCTCTCCCTCCAGCTTCTCTCCTTCTCTCTTTCTCTCTCTCAGTGCCCGCCGTTCGCCCCTCTTTTCTTCAGTGTATCTCTTTTGACTGACTTAAGCATTGAGGAAAATAGAGTATGGAGGGAGGGGGGAAACGTAAAGAGGAAGGGGGAGGGACGGAGAGAGAGAGAGAATAAGAGAGGTCTGCCTTCAGGATTTGGCAAACGAGGAGAGGGACGCGTTCGTATCGATGAGGGGAGGTACAAAAAAGACGAAACGGAGAGATGCGAGCAAATGAAAGGAGATGGGCAGGGGAGGATGAGTGCAGAGACGAGAGGTGGCGAAGAGGGGGAGAAAAGAAAGAGGGAACGGAGTGAAGCGGCAGAAGATGGAGAGAGAGAGAAAGAGAGAGAGAGAGAGAGAGAGAGAGAGAGAGAGAGAGAGAGCGCGCGGGGGGAGGGGGGGGGCGCAAAA